TTATTCCTGGAAAAAAACAGGGTCTGCTTGGATCAATTATTGACGAACTGCTGTTTTCTCAAATAAGTCACACATCTAAGATCTTTTCATGATCTTTTCCTCAGTATATCCGAGCTGTACTGAGCTTGAGACACTCCTCTTGACAAGGCTCACAAGAACATCAGAACTGCCAACACCAGATTGGGGCAGGGTCCATCTAGCCTAGTACCTGTTTCCAACAGCTTAAGCACCAGTTGCTTTTGAGGAAGGGCATGAAATTCTGCTGTAGGGAGTTATGGGATAACATATCCCTCAGAAAGTCTTCTCCTAATCCACACTACTGAGTGGTTGCCTTACGCTCTGAAGCAGGAGGGTTGGCCTCCCACATATTGCTATTCTACTATCCTCCATTACCATTCTAATTCACTTTGACATCAATACCTGCAGCCACACTAGACTGACAGCACCTGCTCTCATCCTGTTTCAGAAGCTAAGCAGTCTTCAACTGGTTAGCACATACATGAGAGACCTCTTGGGAATCTCAGGTACCAGAGACACAAGTCAAGGAGTTATTAGTGAAGACTCAGCAAATATTAGATGATAGAAACAGAAAAGAGTAGAGGACTCTATTCAGCCTCCTCATCAATAATGAACATGATTTAAAAAAAACATCAAAGGGAACTACAGAACTCTAAATGAAAGATTCTACCTTAAAGAAAAGGATGTGTGGGAGCATTACACTTAGCTGCTAATGTACAATGCCCATTACCTCTCAGGGCATGGCTGAAAGCTGCCTTCTCTCAGCTCCCACACATTTTGGGTCTCCTGAGAGGAACATGTCCCTCTGAACAGAGCTTGAGTTACTCAGAGTCAAGTTATCTTTGAAGATCTGGAGAATACACAAAGGGCTAACTTGATGTAATATTCATATCCACTTGCCTTCAAATACATTCCTTCCTGCTGGAGCCATCTCCTTAGGACTTGTGCAGGAGTTAGTCCCAGATCACATAACGCTGCCTCATTAATGCAGATTCTTGTCAAATGGGCTGGACTGTAAGCATCAGCTAAAACAGAAGTCCATCCTGCTAGCAGTAAGCAGGGACTCCCAGGTTCTATGCTCTGCTGTGCCAGAGGACTTGGATGGGTCCCTTCATCTCTGCTCTGTCCTGCAAAACAGGAACAAGGATATGGACCTCCTTTGTAAAGTGTCTGGTGTCTATGACAGGAGAGTGTTGGAGGTCTGGCAGTTCCTGGGGTAGGACAGGGCACTGTCTGATCCCTCTGCTTAAAGGCCATGGTCCAAGCTGGTACATTAGGATACTTGGCTAATCCATATTTACCATCAACAAAAGCCCTACTGAAAGCCAAGGAGATTTTTGCCCAAGTAAAATCAGGGAGAGGACTTCCTGGAAATGGTTGGCCATTTCTAAATACACCTCCTAAACACTGATCAACATTCAAAGAGATCAGCCACGCTTGTGTGCACCAGACCCCTAGAGTGATACAGTTCAGTCTTATGAATGTAAATTCTAATATTACAGACATCAGGAAAATGTTAAAAATCCTATACAGAGATGGAAAGTTGTGGCTTTGGAGCAAAAAGGAAGAACTGGCTCATTTTCCTTAGACCCCTTGTAATTTGGAGTAACTCCCTGAAGTCACTTCTAATAGCAACGTGGTAAGACAAATAAAGTTCTGTTTTTCAGCCAGCACATTCGCATATTACTCTTATAACTGTCATTAATGTTACAGCCAGAAAGGTCCATCCTAGCACTCCAGTGACCTCTTGCACAGCCCAGCCCAGGAAAGAAGTACTGTCTGAGCTGTAGAGCAATGCAGCTTCCAAAGAAGCCCAGTACACGGCAGCACCTTGAGAGTGGAAGGGGAGCTGACCAAGTGGACTCTTGATGTCCCAGGGAAAGGGAATGCTGAATAGAGATCAGGGCCTCATGTTACTAACGCTGTGGTAGTTCTCAGGCACAAGCACTCTGAGTGCTAAAAAGCAGTCACGCGCTCTGCCAGTAAGTTATTTCTAGTGCCGGTAAGTGTGTGTCATGGTTGTGACAGAAGCTTTCTGCATCTCTTCATTCACACCCCCATGTGCCAAAAGCATGTAACAAGCATGGCCCAGCCCTGTGCCTCCTCCACACCCTGCCTGGCTGAAATCCGCCACATCTGGAGGACTCTGGGAGTGGAATGCTTGAACAATACCCATGCTTCTTCCCCTGCTGGGGTGGAAGGCCTCCCCACCATCTCACCTACAGAAAGACATCTGCTCCCACGCTGGTGAATAATGCATTATACTGCTCCTTCTCACTTCAGACTCCAGACATGGAGGCTGATCATTCCAGCGGAAATAGCTTGCTTGCCCCCTCCCACCCTGCAGACAGATGCTGGCTTTCCTGGGTGGTTCGGTCTATTCACGATTGGTAAACAATATTTTGAACACTTTCTCTTGTGTTCCTCCTTTGACAAGCCGAATAACTCCAGCTGTCTGTGCCTCTCTAAAAGATCGACCAGAGCTGACCAGGTGGCTATTGTGTTCAGACAGCCTCAGCTTTCTCAGCACATATGGCAGTGGAGTTCTCGCGGCTGGTGCACTGCGCTTGTACACTGGGTGCTAAGGAAATGGTTCAGAGAAGAAAAACACAAATCTGACTTCAGTTGAGCGTGAAGAACAAACCAGGGAAAGGCAATGCCTCTGCAGCAAGGAGCACAAGGGAACTCAATGCTGAACAATCAAAGAACTGGTTTCCCTTTTCAATTCAAGACAGGGCAATTCCCCAAGCTCTCAGGTCAGAGTTGGGGCCCACAGTCAGTGTGGTACAAAGCTTGGTTTTCATGAGGCTGTTGGTGAACCTTGCTCGCATCATCCGCCTGAAGATCTCAAGGCACTTGGCAGCCATTTGGGAATACAACTGCTGAATCTCCAACCCACCAGGCAAACTGGGGGAAGCTGTCACAATATGGCTAAGGGCCCAAGCCTAAAGGTGTGCTAAGCCACAGGGTAGCTAATGTTGAGCCTTCTGGTTCAGGCCCTGATCTACCACAGGCTTCCTGCATGACCTCAGAGAAGTCACTTCATCTCTGTGCCTCAGGCCCCCATGTAGAAAATGGGGCATATAACTCTTTCCTTCTTGGCCGACTGTCCTGACTCTTTAGGCTGTAAACTCATGTAGTACCTAGCACAACTGCACCTCAGTTGAGACCTCCAGGAGCTGCTGTAATGCATGTAACAACAGCAGTGGCAGACCTGCAGTCACTCACCTCTAAAGACTGTTCTTAGCACAGGGCTGTCCTACTGGCAGCCTGTGAGGCACTCATGTGTGGCCCCCAGGTTTTCACCAACTGCTGCTTCTCCCATCACTCTGGCTGCAACTGCAACTGGCATCTCCCAGTTCCCTTCTCCATCCTCTGGCTGCCACTTCCCATCTTGAACCCAGGAGGCAGGGCAGCGAGACAGCACAGAGAGCTGAAGATGAATCTGGGGCTGTGCTGGGGTTGAGGAGAGTGCCCACACAGGTATACAGTACAGTAGTGGGGGGAGGGGGAGAGAGCTTCCATGGGGCATGTCTGGTGGCATATGGTATGTGGCCCCTGGGGGCTTAGAAGCAGGACACCCCTACTTTAGCTTTTAGCCATAAACCCATCGTTTAGACCCCAGACTCCCTGACCATGCTTTGGTCAGGGATAGGGGCAACAGGGATGCGTTTCAGAGAGATATGGGCACTGATCAGTTAAGATCACAATGGATCCAGCCCAGAGGGAAAACAGAACACCCCTCCCTCATCCCAAACCCAATCCCAAATCCACACATCAAGGAAGTTAGTCTCCAAGGCTTCTGCATATGGCTAAGGCAGGTGGCTTCACATGCCCAGGACCTCCCCATCCCAGCAGAAAATTAAAATCTAAGCTAGGATCGCATGAGAGGAGGGAAACAGCCTGGAGAGTTTTTGTGCTGACCGTTGTGGTGCTGGTATGGGCGGGACATTATGATTATACTGGGGGTTTGTGGTGGCGGTGGCAGCCACTTCTCCTGTTGCATGGCTGCTTTCAAATAAAGGTAGCTCCCTGCTTGTGAGGAGGGGAATGCCAGGAGGTAAGAGTGCTGCCTGGCCCCTGAAGAGCACAGCTGTGTCAGCTCTGGGCTGGAGGTTAAATATCTCATGAAAGAGCCCTGGTTACAGGCTGCCGTCTGGGAATAGCGGACACAATGGGAGACTCAGCAACGAATGAGGAGGGCGGGGGAGGGGGATTACTTTCAGACAATGGAGGCTTAAGGGCCTCAGTGGTCTCATCACATTGCAGCAGGGCCAGTGTTTACTTCAGGAGTCTGGGCAAATGTCCTTCCAGGAAGATGCAGCATGGTCAGAAATAAAACACCTGAAGGAGGAACATAAAACTGGGCAGCAACCACCTCATCCAACCCCTGAGCTCATGGATCTCCCCTTCCTACCCGCTAAGTTGAACAAATGCAGGGGGTGGGAGGCTGCTGTCAACAACACGCTTGCAAGCAGCATTCCAGGCCTCACCAGGCCCTCCTGCAACACCAAGTAAGACAAAAGACACAAACATGCACTGAACAAACTGGATTGGTGCAGAAACTGCTACTCAGTCTTACCCATGGCATGGCCACAAATGTCTCCCATGGGTGATGGGAACCAAGGGAAAGGTTTCCTTTCCCTAGAACTGCCTCATCATTCTAAGCCACTCTAGCTAAGTACCCACTAGCATTTACACCAATGAAAGTGTGTCACTGCACTGTACAAACTTGCACCAGTGTGTAGCTTGGCACAGAATTTGCTCATCTTAGCTCTTGCCCCTCTGATTTCACATATCACATGAGAGCTCATTATTTAACTCTGGTACATTAAGGAGCAGTGTAAATATGCACATATTAAGCCTAGTTATTTTGTGGCTTTCAATACTTCCTGCTGGACACAGGCTATAATACACATGGCATAGAATATAATTGCAATGAAAATACAGCAACATACAAGCCAGAGAGCGTGTCTTCAACCAGCGTCTAAAGGATGAAATCATAACTACTCAGTGATTTGTCATAGTCCTCACACTGCACAGAGAACTCACCTTCAGTGCAGGTGGTAGGAGGCTGGTACTTCTGAAAAAGGAGGTCCAAGTTCTATTCTTGCTGTCATGGTGGAGGAGGGAGTAGCTATGGCAACAGCCTTAAACCAGTAGGTGGTCACACATTTGTTGCAAAATGTACCTGATGGAAGACAAACAATAATGTTAATATACACAAGACTTCACCCAGAGCAGCAGCACCTGCTAAGTGTTGGCCAAACATATTTTCCAGAGGGACAAGGAGTCTAAGGTTGATGCATAATCCCATTCCTAAACAGAGATGAGTCTAAGTCCAAATTGGTCAGCCTAAGACTATGGAAATATCTGGATCAGGATCTGAGCTTTCTGGTTTGAGCCCAATGAAATGAAGAAGGATATAGGTAAGAAAGGTGGACTAAAGGATGGAACACTGGACTAGGGGCTAGGAGACCTGGGTTCAGCTCAATGTTTCCTTTATGACAAACAAAAAATTCAATCTACCCTACACCTCAATTCCTCCTCTTTAAAAGAGAGGACAATATTTCTCCCCCTTCACAGGGCAGTTGAGAATCCTTTAACAATAATGAGATGCTGAAAGGCTGTGGGGATATGGGCCATATAAATAGGAAAATGAAGCAATCATCAGCTATTATTAGAAATGTGTTTTTTCCACTGAGGGGTTTGTTGTGCAGGTCAGATCCAGACCTGTGATAGAAGCAGCATCTCACTAGCAGGTCCAGCATGCTGGCATACTAACTTAATCAAATACTTCAGTAGCATTCTTTTTACCAATTCCTGCTCTGAAGCTTTTGCCAGGGACCTGTTCCACCTTAAACTACTGCTGCTGCTGGTTTATTATCAGACAGGAGCATTAATAATGGGCCTTGCCAGTGCTTTCAGACTGGACTCATTTTCTATGGATTCCAGCAGATTGACTTCTTTCAGTGTCATTTCATGGCCTGAGGGCTCTGAATCCAGATAGCAGCCCCATTCCCCTTCCCCAACCCCCCTTCCCTTTCTTTCTCTCTTTCTTTCTTCCATCCAAATTTACAATCCCTCATTTCCATTCTGCTCCACCCTCTCTCCAGAGACTTTGTTCTCTGGCCTGTATCATTGCATTGCAATTGTCCCGTGTTTATTTCAAACATTTTGGCGGGCTGTCACTCCAATGGAAACTTAATTAATTGCAGGGTTTGTGGCTCTTGGACAATAGTGTCTGAAGCAAAAATAAAATAATTAGAGGCAGCTTTTGGAAAAAAAAAGAGTTTTATGGTCTTCTGATGAACCGGCTAATAACAGCAACAACTTGGGAATGGGAACACAGTTGCAGCTTGTTTTCAGAGCCCCAAACAAACCTGTAATGTAATTCTATTGGATCTCTGCAAATATGAAAAAGAGGTGGCTAAAATACACTTTGAGCCAAACCCTGGAGTTCTGACCAAGTGAAAACTCCTCTTACAAAATAAGATAGTAAGAGCCCAAGACTCACTCTTAAGATCTGCCATAGCTCCTTTAATATCATCATCTGAGCAAGGATGGAGTAAAAACTGAGCAGTGCCATCCAAGTTTGGTCCTTGATGTCACTCCACTACTGTTGTAAAATGCCATCTATAATTCATACAAATAGCCCAATTAGATCTGAGAGACCTGGTGCTTCCCACTTAGCACACCTCAAAAACAGAGTTCTCCTATTTATCCTGTTTCAAGATAAGCATTTGACAAGTGGGGGACAGATCCCATGTGCAACAACTGACTGAAGTTAGTGCATTTCTCATAATGAACATATGGACATTACTGATAGAGTTTTGTTTGCAATTTGTAATCAGGGTCTCATATTTTCCATGAGTCTGAATTCACCAGTAAAAAAAACCCAAAAAAACTACTGGGGAATTGAAATAAATATCACACCATGTACCCATATTAATGCTACTTCTCCTGAACATCCAATACATCTGAGCCTTACTGCTCTGTACAATGAAAATGCAAAAAATCAGATTTCCTTAACATCTTTTAAAAGAAACAGTTTAAGGAATTTCACATCATTTACTGGGTTACATATATTTATGGGCACAATTATATAATACTCTCCCGTGTACATGTTTGTTTAAGCACACACATGCTATGCACCTGTAGACTATACAATCCAGAAATCTCTGAACCAGAGAAATATTAAATAACTAGACAACTTCAAAGATAATAATGAGGTCTGACTGGTACGAGTAAGAAAACTCAAGTAGGAAGCTAAGATAAAATAATTACTCAGGCATAGGCATGTACGCAAATACAGGCTGCAAGTTAAATATACTTTTACCATTTCAACCTCAGAGAATGTTTTCCCTAAACCTTGCTCAAAAATTAAACCCCCTGCCCAACCCTCCCCTTCACAAGCACTTTGCAAAGCAGCCTCACTACCCATGTTTTAAACTCTTAACATCTGGCCAAGAATCTCTTCAAATCAGCTTTTTAACTTTTTTTTCCTATTTCATTACATTGTTCTCAAACTACTTGTTAATGGGGAAAAAGGAGGCTGGCCTTCATCCATCCCGTGTCTCTGATTGGCTGAAAGTTTATGAACCCCCTTCTGATTGGAGAATCACAAATCATCCCCTCCACCCTCCACCCTAGTTGAAACTGACCAGCAATCAGTGGACACATTAGTCAGTTTCACTATGAGAATCTTGGTCGCTTTCATCTCTGCTGCTTTTCCCCTTGTTCTGAATTACAGCATCACTCAGGACGAGGAGAAGGGAAAACCCGCTTTGTATCCAGAAAACGTTTGTGGAGGAGGACAGGGGAGATGGATGATGGAGACTTACAGGCGTTAATTCCTCTTGCACATTCCAGCATGGTGTTGGGAAAGGATTTACTCTACTGTATTTGATTTCCCCTTCTGCTTTGTTGGGAGAAGAAATCTCAAAGAAGATGCCTTTGGTGCTGTGGGCTCTTTGCCTTGGTGTCCTGGATACAGTCCTTTGCAGTTACTCAGAAGACCAGTGCAGCTGGCGGGGGAGGTATGGACTTAAGCCCTTAGTTAAAAATGAGTTTGCCTCCAATGACCAGGGAGGCTCTGTGTAAATGTGCCCTCTTGTGAGAAATTATTTGCTTTGTCCAGAAACTCAGATAACTCTCTTGTGCATGTGTCAGATCCTCCACCCCACTGTCCTCAGTGGAAGTTTGAGTGGCACAACTGGTTATTAATGCATAAAAGGCTGATGAAGCAGAATTCAGAGTGTCACTTTGAGAAAGGAACTGAGGGAGTGGAGTGGCAAATTTTCTGGGTGAGCTGCCATGGGTATCAAAAGACAGGGCTGGATTCTCCCCGTATTTATACTGATGTAAATCAGCAATAAGATCACTGAATTTGATGCTGTAAGGGGGCAGAACATTTAACCAGAGGCTTGTGTACTTTTTTACCAACCTACCTTCCCAGCGAATTACTGAATTTCCCCTTTGGGAAGCTTCAGAAAAGGAAAATCCTAGTCCTTAGGACTGCTGATTTGAGTCACTTGCTCAGAACCATTGGGGATATAGATTCTCCTTCCTTAAAAAGGTGCTGGTTTATTTTTTTATCCCTTGATATGGCAGCTTGTGAGAATCTTCCCCCAGAGCTGGGGAAAATCTCTGATGGGTTTTCATGTAAATCCTCTCAGAACAAACATCTTCCCTCCCAAACCAACTCTCCCTGAGAAGCATCATCTTAAGTCTTTTAGAAGTTGTGGCCCAGGTACCCTTGCCTCCCTTCCTGCTGCCTTCCTGCTGCCTTCCCGCTGGTTGGGGGAGCAGTGTGATTCCCTGGCTCTGTGGTGGTGGGTTGTACTTGGTGTGCTGATTGTTTTATTGTGCCCCAGGACTACAAATCTCTTATTGTTTCATTGAGAGGTAGAGAGGAAAGGGCGGGCAGGACTGGAATGAAGAAGCACAAGTGCTTGAATTTGTTTAGTTTTCTCCAGTTTTTCTCAGGCCCCCTTGCGAGATCAAAGTTATCCCAAGCAGTACACTGTAATTTTCCTCCCCAGTGCTACAGGAACAGGTGCGAGTCTCAGACCTTGGCTGGCAGCTTGTAGTTTCTCCATTTTCTTTCCTTTCCCCACAGACCTAAGTGTTTGGCACTTAATGTCAGGAATGAATAACAAATTCTGATGCAATAGATACTGACCCTTCCCAGAGAAGTCAGGCTGCCTGCAGTCCCAGAAAAACAGCTTGGGTGAAAGCCTCAAAAGAAAGAAACCATTTGACTAACCTAAAGCAGACCTCCCTTTAAGGCACAGGGTGAATTACATATCAACAAAGTCTTGTTAACAGATGAAAAACTCACAAGCCAAGGGGTCATTTAAATTTAAAACACATCCAAAGGTCTTCAGATCAAAGCAAGGTTTGCCAAGCAGCAGCACTTACATTGCACACTGTTTGTGGCAGAGATCATATTTTAGTTACACATGTATAAGATGCCCTGCTTGGGGTCTCTGGACACTACAGCAATACCAGGATTAAAGATGAGAGAAGGGCAGTCTGACCTTTGTGGAAATGCCTTTGCTGATCGGAGAGCCAAGCCTGCAGAGGGCAGCACCATGGGTGCTTTTTAAAATGACCCCAAGACATTTCAGCTGCAAGCGTCTGTTTCTCCGTGTTTGTGCCTTTGTGCAGCTGTACAGATGAGTTAACTATAATGAAGCCAAAATAGAGCAGGCACAGTCACTATAGTCAGCAGTGGGGTCTCGATTTGAAAGCAATGCTGTGACTTTTGCTTGCTAACCAATGGCATCCTGCAAAGAAAGGGAAATGACCTCGTTGTGGACTGATGCACTGTCACACTCCCATTGCTTTAGCAGTCTGGATGTTGCTCTCATAGTAAAGATTTAAGGGAGGCAGTAACCTGGAAAGGTTTCTAAACCATCTGATGGTCCTAGTTTTGGATCATCTTGGACTGTCTGGCAAGGGAATAGATGAAAGCCTGTCAGAACTGGTTTCTCTTGACGGTTTCACAGTATCATTCTGAGTTCCAGCTGCGGGGTCACAACTTCCAGGGACCACATGGAGCAGATATTTCCCTCTTCTCTGTTCCAAGATTCCACACGTATTAGACACATGGGCTATTCCAGCAGACCTCATGCCCAACTAGCTTGCATGGATTCTCTCAAGCTAAGCAGGGTGGAACTAAGACACCACTTAGATATGAGGCCCTATATGAAAACCTAAATGAAGATTTTTTTTCTTCTGCTTGAGGCAAGGTAGCCACTATGCAGCAGGGGTGGCTGTGGGATGGTGGGGAGCACAGCAGCTTTCAGATAAGCCCTGAAATCAAGATCCTGCCCACCTGTCACTAAACACCCCTGAGTGAAGAACTAATTCTAATGCAGGTCATTAGATTTCCCCTCCCACCCACTGGTAGCTTCAATTAGATACAGCTCCAGTTCTCTGCACTTCTCAGTTTAAACTTGAGTGTGACAGCGTGCTATTAAAACAACGGCTGTGTTGAACAGAGGTATTTAAGATAGGAGTGGCATGACTTCTACCTTCCTTCCCTGCTCCAAGTACTTCAAAACAGCATCATTTTGCTGCCAGTGTCTCAGGAAGCAGCATCATGTGGGTGCTTCCAGCACTAGCTTGAAGCTCCAGACTGACCTCCCCTGTGATCTTGGGCAAATCCCTCTGTCTCTTGTTTCCCTCCACTCCTTTGTGTGTCTTCTCTATTTAAACTAAAAGCCCTTCAGGGCAGATTGTCTCTCACCATGCATTTGTGCTGCACTTCTTGTAATAGTTGGTCCTAGTCCAGTGCTTTTATCCATCCTACTCCAGCACACCAGGCACTAATGTATTACTATCATATTATACTTAAAGAGAGGCTGAGGGATGGGCTTGTGGGTCAGAAATAGGCTCCACAACCAACTCACTACATGAACTTCTGCAAGTCCCTAGTCCCTGTGTGCCTCAGTTTCCCCATCTCAACAGAAGGTTGTGAGACTTTCCTAGGGCAGAGACCCCTATGGGGAATAACCTGTCATTTCAACCACTTGGACTGCTTCTTAGGATGTACATGACCTGGGTCTTTGTTGACTTAGCATCTGGACCAGGTTACCCCGCCAGGCTAACAGGGTCTTAATATCTAGCATGTAAATCCCAGACATTCTTCTGGCCTTCTGAGAGCCTGTTCTCAGTCTCACTCTCCCTGCATCTCCCTCTCCCCTTCCAACAGTCCCCTCCAGCCATAGAGGTGAGGATCATGGAGCTCTCAGGCTTGTGTTCCCTTTCAAGGTTGATGTGGAGTTTGTACCTCCAAACAGGGACTTGATTGGTTGATTTCTTTTGAAAACACTGAAGATCCTCAGCTAGAAGTTAGGAGAGAGAGTAAACGTGATGCTGGAGACAGAGCCCTGCTTCTCCTGCACAGCAAGTTTCTCAGAAAGACCTGAAGTACTTGTTACAAACAGGCCTACAGGGAGAGGGCTACACTGAGTCCCTATGAGTCCCTAGTTCCCTGCCTACTCCTCCTACCTCACTGTTATAAATAAACACTGCTTTGCACAAAAGAGAGGCCAGTGGCCACCTTCCAAGAAAGGTGACCCCCCTTTCTCCCCACACTCACCACTTGTTTATACCCTGCATGCACATAAATGCATTCAAGGGCAGCAGGTTAACAGAGCAGCAGGTCTGCCGAGGTTTGCTCTGGGGATTAGCAGCTGCCAAATGGCTTCAAATCCCTTATTACACAACAGGTAGAAGCAGAAGGAAAGCAGAGTAAATCCTATCTCAGGTTCAGGAGACAGAAGGGCTTTCATTTGTAAATGAGAACAGGAGGGAGTAGGGCCAGGAGACTCCTCCCCAGTCAAAGCCCTGCCCCCACCACACACACTTTAGAGTCCAAGTACACAGGGCTCTGGCCTTCCCTGCCCCTTCACAGACAAACCACTGGGACAGGGGTCACCTCCAAGGAACGGGAGTGCAGCACATTGCAGCTGGTTCTGGAAGGAGGGGTCCAATGTGGCTGTAGGTGCTTCCTCAGCTTGGCTATCCTCCCTGACATGCTCATTGGGCCAACCTGAAGTATTCAAAGAAGCATGTCAGGCCCCAAAAATCATAATGCTTTTTAATTAAAGCAATAAGTGACAGGCCATTTTTTTTGCCTCCTGATTTCTGAGCCTTTGGGGTGCATGCCATTCACCTGCATGAGCTTTTCATTGCAGCCAGTATGGCTATAAATGCACTTAATGAAACTGAGGTTCCCACACAATCACTTGATTCCAAGAGCTGGTGCTTTAAGAAGAGACCCTAAATATCATAACATTTGAGAGGGCCTCTCCCATGGGAGGGAGAGCAAGCCACTCCATACACACCCAGCATCCCTATGGACTTTCACAACCTACCAATCTGATGAGTATCAACAGATACCAGGTGCTGCAGGGACTCTTACCAGCTCTGACTGCTTGCAGTCCTGAGCTGCAGGTCAGATGCAGCACATACCACAACACACTCTGGCAAAGCCAGACTTCATTCTGAGACCCACTGGCACCCTAGGAGGCAGGTGTACAATTGGTGCAACTGCCCAGGCCCAAGCCTAACTGTAAGGAGATCTCACCCTCTTCGACCACAGAAAAAGGCAATAGCATCGCTCAGATGTGAGGAGATAGATGTGTTGCCTTCAGCCCTCTTAGGTCTAGAGCTGCCTGTCTCTCCCAAATGTAAAGGGGCCAGCTACCACAATATGACAACCCCTCAAATCATGAGATGCAGCCCCAGATTATTGCAGATTTTGTTTTCCTTGCAAGGCATGAGTATGTTGTGCACTTTGGCCTGCCTCTTGATTTTTCAACTGGCCCTGCCCAACTGAGCATGTGCAACAATTCTTTTGAACTGAGTACAGAAGATGATTGTGGCCCCTGCTGCTCTTGCCCAACATTGCCTTCCCAGCCATTAAACTAACTCTGCAATACTTCCAAGTCAGTCCTGTCCCCCAGGTCCTCCCCAGTCCCCATACGGGCTCTGCCACATCAGTTTGGACCCCCAACCTCCTCAGTTCAGTCCCCTGACTCCCATCCAGCCCCATTCCTCTCACCTCAACTCCTGGGAGTCTTCACCTGCTCTCCCATCCTGGAGGGAGATGGGCTACAGAGGGAGTAATCTCTTTCCCCTTCCAGAAATACCCCTACTCTATGGGTATCTCCCCATCATTCCCTTACCGAGGACTGGTGTTTCAGAGACAGAAGGGGCAGAAGTGCCACAGGAGTAGGAAGAAGAGAGAGACCAATGCTGCTCTGAGATGCTGGCCTCTTTCTAATCCCTTCTTGGAAGATAATGTCAGGCTGCTGGAGAGAACATGGGAGTAGGCATGGTGTGGGTGTGGTTGTGTGAGGGAGTGTGGGGAACTCCCTGCACCTTGCACAGCCCCTGCTGCTCACAGCAGCCGCAAGCAGCAGGCCCTTGGGGTTCCTGTGGCTTGTGCAAGCACAGCCACCCAGCAGCATGCAGCTCCAGCCAGTTCTGGGAGCTGCACAACAGCAAGGAGCAGAGTGGCAGCACGGAATGGAACCAGGCTGGCCCGCCTCTGTCGCAGTGGGCTCACATCTTCTGGCACTTGTGCGCCACTGGGAGAAGCACGATGGAGCTGACTGTTTGGCCCCGCTCCCTGCTGCCACATGCATGTCCCGGAGCAGCTGACTCCAATGCATAGGGCTTACCCTGGTGGCGCACAAGTGCTGGGAGCTGCATGTGAACCCTGCGCAATAGAGGCAAGCAGGCCTGATTCTGCTCCTTGCCACCACATGCAGCTCCTGGAACTCACTGGAGCCTGAACCGCTGGGCGGCTGCACCTGTGCAAGCCACAAACCCTGCCCAGACACCCCCTCAAAAACCCTCCACCCCCCATAAACACCCCAGCATACACCCCTCCCAACCAACCTCCCCACACAATATACAAGAGTAAGACTATATTTTTGAGATATTATGCAATTGCCTCTATATACACTATGCAAACACACATAAATCAGGACAAAAATATTTTTTGAAATAACATACATTGTAGTAGATGTTTGACTTAGTACGGGATCAGGGTTTTTTTCCAGCTCCAAGATGGTAATCCCTGCAAAAGCAGTACTTCCAGGGGCAAGGTGAGGGACTTCTGGTGGCAAAGGTCAGGGGTTAGGAGGTAGGACTTCCAGTCCCAAAATGGGAACCAGGGGGCAGGGCACCCATCAAGGGGTGGGGCACCCTCAACAGCTCACCAAAACTCATTAAGCGGCCCTCCAGCCGAAATAATTGCCCAGCCCTGTCATAGGGAGATAGACTTTGGCTACAGAAACAATCCTATCACACATTAGTTGGCAAAAGTGCTAGCACAAGAGCAGGCAGGTAAACTTTTGGGCTAAAAAAAAGTTGTCCCCTCCCCCAACCAACATTCGAGGCCACACTTGAAAATCTTGGCTCTGGCAGGATCTTGGGGTGGCCACACAGAAGCAAAGTGGTCTCAGGAGTCGGGGAGCTGTATGCTTGCCTTTGGGAGGATCAGGCAGGATCTGGGTAAAGGGGAGATGAGACTTGCAGGCCTGCAGCTATGTATTCAAGCTAACAGTCTGGTGTTCGTAAGATGCTGATATAACAGATATCCCAAACCCATTGGGATATCAGTAGCTTCATCCACCAGATATTTTCCACCACATCCTCTTACTGTTCTTGCCCAGAGGTAGAAAAGAGGACAACTCCACTGAGGCTGAGCTTGATTCTAGGGCTAAACTTCATCACAAAACAAGGGTGTCCAGTCCCAGAATTTGGACTCAGCCTTAAAGAGAAGGCAAGGAATGATTTAGTGGTTAGGTTCAAGCCAAACTCTATATGGAACAGGTGGATTCACAAGTAGCTGAGCACATTGCTGCATGTGGAAGGGATAGCTTTCAAGTAGGCTAAGAGCAGCCACACAAGTGCTCAGATGGTCTCTGTTATAAGACTGGTCTCTCTTTCCAGCTGAATCCTAGAGTGCCTAAGTCGCTGAGACCCAGCGCTGACAATTCCTGAAAGCCGAAATCCATCAGATAAACCCCCCAAGTTTCCTAGCTTGACCTTCTGAAGTCATCAAAAATATCACTGTACAATCTACAACCATGGGCAAGGCCTGCTAGTGACATTATCCATAGCCATTTAATGCTGGCTTTGATGCTGGCTACCTCATGAAAGGGCATTTTGCTGCTGAAGTGGCCCTGAAGCCAGCTGGGTGGATGTGCCTGTGCCAAAGGCCTACTTTTATGCTAACTTGGATTTGTTCTCCTTTTGTAGTGGCCTCTCCCAGGAGTTGGGCAGTGTGGAGCAGATCTCATTACACTGTGCAGAGGGCTCCCTGGAGTGGCTGTACCCAACAGGGGCCTTACGCCTCAGCCTCTCCCCCCGCCTCCCCACAGGTACAGCAGGCAAAGGGAAGAGCCCCAGGGAAGTCACCACCTGTATCAAGCCCTCCAGCACCTTCCGGGGAGCTCAAATCTACCTGGAAAGGGATGGGATTCTGGAGCTGCTGTTGTCTGAGGCAGATGCCTCCCTCCGCCCCAGGGTACGCTGCTTCAACTGGCTGCCCAAGGAGAAAGTGGCCCTGTTCCTTCAGTCTACCCTGCACCAAGACATCAGCCGGCGGATCGCCGCCTTCCGCTACGAGCTCCGGGGCGACTGGAACTCCCGCCTCTCACTGCCCTCCAGCAACCTCAGCATGGAAGGTAAATACCCAAGCGCAGGCCCATGCAATGGGCTTGCAGGATATCAGGCATGTTAACCAATCCCCCTTCTGGTGCCCACTGTCTTTCCATGCCAACGTCTGTCCCTTCCAGGGACAGGCACAGCATTCCCCCCACAGCAAGAGGATGTTTCACCTCTCCAGTTACAAGCTGGTATCTCACAACCTTGTCTTAGCAGGGCTGTGATTATAGGATAGCAAGCATCCTGTCACAGGCAAGAGGGCCCACTGGTTAAAGCAAAGCACTAGGATCCAGCAGTTCTGCTACTGACCTTGGGCAAATCATTTAATCTCTTTGAGCTGTAGTTTCCCCCCCTCTAAGCCAGGGGTCCTGGTGGCATCATAAAGGGAGGGCTGGGAGGGTGAGTTAACTCTTGTTATAAAGCATATGATACTTGGTTTAATTAAATAACGAAGGCCAAGTCCTCAGGCCCTTCCTCAGTTTTCACTCAGGAAAAATTATTTTTGAGGAAGGAGAAAACAGGGGATTTGCAGAGTCAGGGTGTTATGTCTGAGTCGTCCCTGCCAGCTGCAGCAGCATGGTGCTCACTGCTTCTGTTACTCAGGAGGGGAGCTCTGATCAGTGGCAACTGTGTGTTTACTGCTGAGATGAGGCACAGACTACAGGAGTTTCCAGCTTCTGGCTGTTAAATGGCCAGGATAAGGTGGGCCTCCCAGCAGGGACAAGGAGGGGCTGGTAACCCTAGCCGCCCCCTGCCTCTGCGTGCTCAGCGAAGGGAGATATGAAGCTGAAGGAGGATCTCAGAGCAGCTCCTGCTGGAATGTTTAATCAGAGCCATCTCGGAGCTAACAAAAGTCCAGTGTGCAGCCGTGGGGACGGCACTGGTCCTGCCATTCAGCCGCTTCAGAGATAAGGTGCTCTCCTCGTTGCCGTGGAAACTCAGGCATTCCTGCTGTCTCACATGGCCCTGGGAGCCCCTGACACTGGATTAGTGGACTGGGAAGGAAGGGGATTGCCCCTGCAACACTGTCTCCCTTCCCCCCACACCCCTCTTCTTGCTTCCTCAAATGGCATCTGATCTGGCCCATGGGGTGAAGGCAGCAGCACCAAGGTCTTGACTCTGTGGGCTGTGAGGTGAATAGTGCCATACATCTAGCAAGTGGCCAAGCCAGCTACAATACTGTTATTTTGCTCTTCTCAGCCCTGTAGGCCTGAACCAGCACTGCTGTAAACAAGTGCTTGTATACAAAAAGGGCCTGTCCCTTTCATACCAGCCTCAAAGCTGGTACCTTTAGAGCAGAGACAACCTGAGCCGACCTGCATAAGCAGATAGCAGCTGAAGCCTGAATCCCAGCCAGCCTGAATGGCAAGAAAGGTCCGTAGTGCAGGCATGTTTGAACTGGGATCAACCAACCCATTCCAGCCTGGCTGAACCTGGAGGCAGAAAGCTGGTGTGAGCAAATCTGTCTCCATTATAGATCTAGAGAAGAGATAGCCTCCCTCCCCCTGGCATAAATCACAGGATATTTTCACCCCTATTAACTGTCAGCATATTAAGTAACACAGCCTTTAGGCTGCAGGGAACACTGCTTTTTGGAAACAAATAGAGTTGGAGGGGGGTTGCATGCATGTGGTGCATGCAGTTGGGCCTGGCATGTCAGCAGAGTGCTCTTGTCATAAAGGCAGCATAACAGGGTAATGGAGCAGACTAGCCTGCCACAGTGTTCTTGATGTGGCACCATGCCCCAGAAACAAGTCGAGTGTTAGGTACCTTCTACAGGGAGCCTAATACACAGAAACTAGGTAGTCCATAGGCTTGAATTTAGGGTTAAGATCCAGAGATCCCCTGCATTCAGTTTCTGGCTCTGCCTCTGGTTCACTGCATGCTCTTGGCCATGCCATTTAGTCTCCATGGATCTCATCCCCATCTGGAACATGGGAACAGTAAGAATTTCCTCTGTCCTTGAGGGTTTGAGAGGACATAAGGATGCTTGGCAAATATTACGAATGCTAAATATTACTGTTCTTCTGGCCAGGCTACATGTGGACCCAGCTGGGTTAACACATTAAATCTGGCAAGATTCAACGTGGATAAGAAAGAGCAGCCAGTCCTGCCCACCCCTGCTGTCCCAGCTGAGGGGGTGGCTTAGCTACAGATCTGCAATCCCAACGAGGGATTCCTCTGAGTCTCTGACCCAGAGTGAGAGCTCTGGAAGAGACAGGGAGGAAAATAGTGCCTGGACTTGTTTTCTTTGGTTTCAGAGGCTAGTGTATCAAATCTGGGCTGCACTTCCTCTGGTCTCCCAATCCCCTGGGCTCCCTGCAGGGAGAACAGAGTCAGAGTACCTTACATAGCCAGTTAGTGAATGGAGACTTGCCCTCCACTGTGGGAAAAGGAGGGGAGTTAATGGCAGGGACCTCTGCATACCACATGCAGGGCTGGGTGGGCAACCATGCCAGAAGTAGGAACTGGGATGCTGCCTCCCAAACTACAGAAATAGAAATCAGCAAAGCAGAAATCAAGGCAGATGGAAGGGGAGGGGAGGCCAGACCAGAATGCGTAAGACTCCTTCTCCCAGACACTGACCCTTGGCAGCTCACAGGAGTTCACCAACTTTACTTCACAGAGTGCCAGATACTAGCTGAAAGGAGCTCTTAGCCAGCAGGGTTAAACTAGGTACCTGATCTAACTTGCTCAGGGCCTTTGCAGGTATAGAGTGTTGCACCTATGAGACATGCAAGGCTAGGAAGGGAGCACAGGGAATCCTCCATTAATGAGAGCACAGCTGCCAAGTTGTGGCTACCTTGCAGCCAGAGTGAGGCCCATGAGGGGAGAATGGATCAAAACAGCTCATTACCATGATGAGGTTCATGCTTCATTCCATGGCTCCTCTGACCCCCAGACCTCAGCTTGGAGGGCTGTGCTTCAGACCTGCATGCACTGAAGCACAGCCACCTTGTGCATCTTGCAGCAAAGCGCTTTGCTTCAGAAAATCTCCCAGGCCTGAACCTAAGGCTCGGATCTTTGTATTGTATCAGTGCCCTTTGTGCATGGTGCTACCACAGGGGGAAGCTGTGCTCCACCAGGCAGGCCTCAAGGAGAGGGAGCCTCTAGAGGGCACGGGGCAGCAGAGCAGCCCTTGTGAGAACAAAGACAGAGCCCCAGGCCCAGGATGGTCTGAGGAGGCCAGATGGTGATGCTGTGGGGCACCTGCACACAAAAGGGATTAAGCCAACATCTCTACCCTGGCTGGGGTCTATCTGAGCAGGGGGGACTGTGACTCGCTTGTCAAGTAACTCCTCTCTGTCTGGATGCTGCAGGGGTATGCCGGCCATGTAACAACACCGAGATCCTGATGGCCATTTGCACTAGTGACTTTGGTGAGTACAACTTGCACTCTGTCTCCTGTTCACCTGTGCTTGAGCTTCTCTCTCTTCCCTGGACTTGGGTGTGTTTATCATAACTGGATGGAAGGGAAAAACACAGTAACATAGGGAGAAACATTTTTGTATCTCTGGGCTGGGACTCACACTACCAAGCTATAGCCTGAGCACTGTGTGTTAGCCACTGGTCTCTAGCTGACAAAAGGAAAACAGGTTGGTTGTGTATTGTTTACCACTGAAAAGATTTTCCTATATCTCAAGTGGTGGGAGCCTTTGGTTTTTTGTTAATCTAGTTTAGGGATGTCCAACATATGGTGCATGGGCCAGATCCAGCCCACAGAGCCATGTCATCTGGCCCACAGGGCTCCCAGAGGGGCTGAGAATTTGGGGATGGGGCCCGCCATCTGAACTCTAGAGCACAGAGCCCAACTGGGGACGTGTGTCAGTGACAGGAACAAGGGACGGCCCCACCTTGTCCAAGAGACGACCCCCCACTGCCACATGAGGATCTGGACAGCAAGAAGCTCCACCGTCCAAATCAGGCCTATAGGGCATGGTGAGTTTGACAGTAACCTGACTGATGCCAAGTAGTTTGGGTTACCTGTGTAGGTAAGAAGAACAGAGTGTGACTGTAGATTTGTTACTTCAGTGGGTGCTGACATACACCTGTATCCCACAGTGCTTCTTAGTGACATTCCAGACACAGAAATAAATGACAGAGAAAAGGGAGTCAGCAACACTGGCAAGGCAGAAAAGCCTCCTTCCCTCAGACTGCAGGGACAAGGAACAAGTAAGGCAGAAGGGAAGGACCTCACATAGGCCCTGAGCTGGATATTATGCAGCAGTGAGTGCATGGAGCAATTCACAGCATGAGATGAGCAAATGCTGAGGAAAGGAAAAGGGAAGCCTGTGGTGAAACATGGAGAACCCCCAAACACTCTGCCCTTCACCTGCCTTCCTGCCATTCATTAGCTGGGCAGAGGCGAGCAAGGGTACACCAGGGCTAAAGCCAGCAGCAGATAGCCTGCAGCAAACACTGCTGATAGCACTGAGCCCAGGAATTCACTTCCAGGCTGGAATTATGCAGCCAAGCAGAGTTTTCTCCCATTTAAATGTCCACACATGGATGCGCCCCAGTGGGCAGTTGCCAATTATTCCTGCACGCTCTGCTAGCCTTCTGATTTGCATCTCCAAACAGGGGTTAGGGGTCACTGGCTGCCAGGTCCTGAGTTGCCATGGCAATGAAGAAGTCAAACATAAAAGCAGGGGCATTTGCCATGCCAGATCAGATCAGAAGTCTGTCAAGCCCTTGGGGAGAGGCCAGTGCCTACAGCCCAAGGGTAGGCCAGTCTGACCAGAATGTGTGAAGCTAACTGCAACAGCAGACGCAAGGTATGGGGAAGAGGAAAGTCCCTCCCTGCCCTTCATAGGTGATCAGCAGATCTCCTGAAGCAGCATGTCTGTTACCTCAGCCTGGGATTGTGAGAGCCTGGAAATGGGCATGAGCATCCAGCCCCTGCACTGGATGCTCCCTAGAAGCCAAGTACCCCAGCTGGCTGTAATTCTGTGAAAGGATATTATCCTGTGTTCTCCCCATTTCTCTTATGGTGTGGCCCCTCTCCTCTCCTCCAGTGTTTGGATTTAGCAAGAGAGGGTCCCTCCTGCTCACCACTGGGGCCCTGAGAATGACCTTGGCTTCACCCTGTTCCACTGCAAAGCTTACTGGTAGGGCAGGCTGGGGAGCTCTGCCCCGTGTCTCTGGGACCTGCCCCAATTCCACCACTAAAATTCTGGTGTAGCTATGATGTTGCAAAGCCCTCATGTAGATAGGCTGAGCCACAGCATGCATCAGTGTGCCACTCTCTTATCCTTGCTTTAAACTGGGAAGGCTGGACCAGTGTAAATCATGGCTTATATAGAGATTGACATTATTCATATTGGCGTGGTACTCAGCTGGCCACAACTGGCTGAAATCCCAGTGTACACACAGCATCTGGAGGGCCACAGCCAGACCCCACTGAAGTCAAGAAAAAGTGGAACTACTCCTGCCACTGACCCTCTTATGCGACTCCCACTGCTTTTGTGACAAGCTCAGAGAGCAAGTGTTAGAGTATGTGAGAGGCTCTCGGTGAACTTCCTTAGTGTAGCCCAGGGTGGACAGTAATGCTAGCCTCTCTGCTTAATCAGGTCCTTCTGGAATATAGGCTTTGTCCTCCCTCTAGTTGGTGATAACTACTGCACGAAAAGGTGCTAAACAGGGGGGAACCCATTTAACCCTGGTCTACACTAGACTCCTGGGGAAACCTCCCACCCCACATTAGCACTGGGGCAGCTCCACCAAGGGCAGGGCACTGTTTGGGTTCCTCTGCCACTTGGCCTCTAGACATATTTTGAACATATCCCCCTCTTATTTCTGCCAGCTTCCATCCTGGCCTGCAGCCTCCACAGAGCACTGGGAGATGGACTTGGTGCAGAAAACACCAGGGAAAACTCTCTGCTCTGTTATGATCAATATGGTCCTTTCCAGCTCACAAACTCTGTAATATCCCCATTGTAATTTACAGCCCCTTCTGCTACTCCTGTGCCCAGTTCTCCATAAAGACCTGCCAATGTACTGAGCACATGAATAAAACAGGATTAAGTTCCCAGTTTCCAGAGACAACAGGCCAGTATCCTGACTCCCCTCTTTCCTGTACCATCAGAACCTAGTCAGTTTGTCTCTGATACCTAAGCATTCCCAAATCCAGGTCATGATGCCACAGCTCCATGATCAGTTTCCATGTCTGGATGAATGAGCAATGTTGTCCCTCTTGCCCCTTCCCTCCCTCAGTTGTTCGTGGCAACATCCGGAGCGTCTCCAATGACATCGAGCTGCAGGAATCCATCATCAGTGTGAGCGCCACCCGCATCCACCGCCAGAAATTCACCTTGTTCCAGCCCATCGGCAAATATGGCAAATCCACAGGCAACATCCACACCCTGCTGCGGTGTGGAGTGAAACCAGGACCAGGCAGCTTCCTCTTCACAGGTTGGCTGCACTTTGGGGAGGCATGGCTCAGCTGTGCTCCCCGCTACAAGGACTTCCGGCGCATCTATGAAGATGCTCATCAAGCTCACGAGAACCCCTGTGAGTTCCCATTGGACTGAATGGGATCAGGGAAGCTAAAAGGGGTTCAGCCCAACTCTTGGAGATGGAGATTACTAGCTGCTGCTGCAGCAGCAGCAGCAGCATCACAAAGAGTTCAGAGGGGTACCAAGAGCTCTACCTAGCCCTTACAGACCTGCGTTGGTCCCTTTCTTGCTTCACTGGCTCCATAATGAAGAACATTATGATAAAGCACCTGGAGAACTAACAGGAATTTGGACCACAGGCAAAAAATCACCAGACTGCTGATTGCGATGTGGCAAATACTGACTAATGTAAAGGGAAGCAACCTTTCCAGTGCTGGGCAACAGTAACATAATACAGGTCTTGTTCAGGGAAATAAGTCCACTTACCGAGACCCCCAGCAGCTTGATAGGACAAAAACAACAGTGAAACGAACCAGTGTCTCTACACTGGGGAATACACAGTGGCCCTGGAGGATGCATCATCCTCACTATTTCAGAATTCATTGCCAGGTGACCAGCAGCTTTGGGGAAGCCTTGGATTCTTCTGCTGTAGAACAAAGTTGTGATGTACCATGACTGTTCAGACAAAGCAGGGGGGCAGGCCAAGCGACCAGATGAGTTGACAGCACATTAGAACTGGAAACTGTTACATGAGCAACTCTGCTTCTCATTTTGCACCGAAAAACACCCACATGTTGTGGAAAAGGCTTTGGAAAAACTGGCCAATGTCAGAAGAGTCTCTCTGGGAAAATATTGCTCAAAGAAAAGGGCCTTTTCTATATGCACTTGGTTTCACTCTAGGACCTGATTCAGCAAAGTTCTTGAGTACATGCTTTAGGTCTTGTTGACTAGAGCCCAGAGCATTAAAGATATTTAAGCACCCAAACTCCAAGGAAATCAGTGGGAGTTGGATGCTTAAATACCATTGAGGATGTAGGCCTTTGTGGAATCAGGGCCAGCATGGCCTGACAAAATTTGGTTCTGAAGTTGCCCTGCTCCCTGTCCTTCCGTCAGACAGGCTCGGCTCTCTCTAGAAAGGGGAGGGAGACCCGGCCAGTTAGTAGCCTCCGTGTTTACATTCCATTTTCTATTTGTTTGTTAGAAGTGTTAAGAAATTGCTTTGTATGCAGCAGGGAAGCTTGTTCTTTGGTGGGAAGGTGGGAGATGTGGTGTCAGGGGCTATCTGGTAGCTGGGCTTCTGAGAGCCTGAATCATTTAGGAAGTAAACAAATCATAGCTGGAAGATATGGCAATCCCTTGCTCTGGAATGAGCTGCCAAAGGGTGATTGATGAAGTTCACAAAGGTGCCTTGTGTTTACCATCCTGGCTAGAATCTACTTTCATTTTCACTTGGATAAATCAGGAGTTACCCTACTGAGTTCAAGCTACACCCGTTTTATACCAGTAAGCTCAGTGTTGTTCTTCCAGCCTGCTTTCGAAACCTCACAGGTGAAGCTTCTCATTCCCATCCCTGAAACCTGGCATTGTCCCCAACTTGTCAGCACCCAAACCAGAGAATCATGAAAAACAATTTATAGAAAACTTTAAAGTAGAGATGGGTCCATGCTGTGTTTACTTCTAAACTTTGCCAGAGCTGTGTTTTGGATCCCAGTCCACAGTTCTGGTTTTAATGCAGAAACAGGCCTACCCCACTATGGCTCTGGATCCAGAGTCCATGTTCTGCCTGGTATTGGGTGGCCTTGGATCTTGTGTTCCAGTTTGGTGCCATCTTTGCTGTACAGAACATGAGCCTACATTGTCATCACTTTTTGTAGTTTCTATGTCCTGTGCTGGCTGGAAAAGAGGGCTGGAAAAGAGTCCATATCAAATTCAGTCTGAAGTGGTCCAAAAGGCAGTCCAGTGCAGGTTCTGTGTACAGCAGTGATGTCTCACTAGGAAAACCTTCGCTAATGCATTTTAATGTTCTCCTTAAAATGAAGGTTTGCGTAGACTGGAATTTGAAGAACAAGCCTTTATATAACAGATGTCAATACTAATGGCAACTACAGAGGCCAGGGCAGCAGGAGTAGATGTGAATGGAAAACACCTTGGATATTTGTTCTGTAGCTTGTGCATTTCTGGTGGAGTGGAATCACAACCCACTACAGACGTGTGGTAGTGCCAACCATCTGTATATTTCTAGGAGAGGGTCTTGTAATGTTGTGGTAAGAAGGAAAGTGCCCTTTAGGAGAATCTGTAAGTGGAGAGTTGGGGGGTAGTGTGGAATTGGTCCCTAATCTGTCACTGGCTAGGCAAAATAAGGAGGCTGCTGATGGAAACATTCAGGGAGGAGAATGAAAGGTCCTAGAGGAGATGAGCTGCTCCTTTCTGATGTCACTGGCAAACAGAAGACAGGACTATAGACCAAGGGAGAAGATGCTCCATGAGACAACTGGAGCCCAGCGAACATCAAAGAACAGCTTGAATATTGGAGTGCAAGGGGCAGCTGTAGGTGGTTTTACAATTTTAACTTGATGTTTCCACTTTGGGGTGGCTCAGTAATTGTAGAACTGGAAGTCTGAGTGAAGGGAAGAGAGAAGGGATAGGGACTCAGAGAATTTTGGGAAGGAGAAAGTTGGTCACACCAGTAAAACATCTGCAAACTCCTAGTTTCACATGGGAATTCATGCTAGAGCCCAGGGATTTTAGGTCTTGTCTACTCCACAACTTCCAGTCAAGTTTGTAACCCATTAAGAGGCATGACTGACCATAACCACTGCTTGCATCTACATAAAGAGCACTATAACATCTCAGTAATTGTGGCAGCTAACTAGGGATGGCCCTGTCAGAGGTCCAGCCTGGAACATGGATGTCTTCCTGTGACTAGTTCAGAACATGCTTTTGCTGGGCAGTAGGACATTCAGACAACACTTGTCTTCTGCTGTAGCTTGTCCTTTATGCTAATCCCAGCTAAGATTACATGGGACATTTGTGTATGTTCCCACAATGCATGCACCAGCACGTGGTGGGGGTGGATACACAAACTTCTCTCCCACCATCACATTGTAAAAAGGTTTTCAGCTTGCAGACAGATCAACCATGTTTGTGATAAACTGGTTAGATGAGGCAGGTTACAAGTCCATAGCTTCCCTTATAGTGTGGATGGGACCTTTGGCTGGTGAATGATGGCTCACATGATTCTTTCCCACCTCCTACCTGAAGCTACTTAATTTGGGGGGAGGGGAGAATTTTTGACGATGGGGGTGGGGACGTCATATGTGCACTAAAGATATAACGATACCAAATTTGTGATTTTTTTTATAAACTAAACTTTATTTGTAATGTGTGTTCATTTTTTTTTTTTTTAAAGAAAAGAAAAAAATTTGAAATGTTAATATAAAGTGCATCTCCACAGCTATCCAAACACTGCCAGGCATGGTTAGCAGTTGCCATTCTGTAGCGTTTAGTCAATGGCTGTGAGAATGTTTATAATTTTTTAAAATAGTTTTTGTATATATCATATCTGTTTACAAAGTCAGGAATGAAGCCCTGAGTCTGTCTAGTTTATAACAACAGGATTTCATTTTGGTTTGAAAGAAACAATGGTATTTGCTTTTTGTGGGTTTGACAAGTTGTATAAAAACAGTATTTCTAGCAACCTGAGTCCTTGTTTTTTTCTTTAGGGCCTCTTGGTCCATTTGCTTTTCTCCTTCTCACTTTTTTTAAAAACAACAATAACTGGGATACGTTAACAAAAGTAACAGCAACATTTTCCTTAGAACTCAACAAGCCGCTTCCAAACGGCTCACCTACTGAATCCTAAATACCATGCTTTACGAAGGAACCCCCCTGAAAGAACCAATGTATGACCAGACCCTAACCATAAAGTCAAATTCATCCTTGGTGTATTTCAAATTAACTCAAATGACTTGCTCAGTTGGTTTAAAATATCCTGATGCCATGACACCATGGACCCGCGACACAAGTCAAGAGCTGTCTGCACTATGGAATTGAGACCCCAAATGTGTGGATATCATTTTGTTAGGCAGACAAAGCCTTAACCTTGTTCCCAAAACATACCAGTGTCGAGCAACCTGAGGCCTTGCATGCCCTGAGGATACTGTCATGATCTTATCTACCTTGCAGAATAGAGTGGTCACATCTTTATAGCATATTTCAGTTTACAGAGTTCAGAAACAATTAATAAATATTTTGGTAAAGGTTATCTACTGCTAAGAAGACCAGCAGGTTGCCTGTAAGTTGGCTTATTCCTGTCTGTAAGACCTTCCACTGATGTGCTTAGAACTGTCAATAGCACATGCTCTCCACCGCTGTAACATTTAAATCTTGTAACCCTTTCCAAGGAGAATCTCCATATAGAGTGACCAATAGAACTACATTCCAACTAGGTCCCTTGACACAACTGCAGGGTATGTGAGGGGACTTACTGCTGTGTTAATAGCTTAGTAATGCCCAAGCAACTGTGAAACACCATGGCTTGGCTTTGCCTTGGAGAAGTGAGACCAAACTACAGAAGACTACCTGTGGATCTGCAAGTGGCAGAGGGGAGGATGTGACACACTCAACAGAAGGTTAATATTTACAGAGCTTTATAAATCACAGACCTGCTGTGTCCATTTGGAAGATGGGCTCCAGTTGGGGTAGGGACTGGTACAGTATATGGGTTCCCCGAAGGTATAGGGGATCATTCTCTTGATCAAGCATCCTGCTGCAATAGAACTTCTAGACTGACATTTTCTTCTTCCACCTACTAGAGTTTCCCCTGTGAGCATGCGCACTCACCCACATGCCAGCTCTGAGAGCCCTTCCAGAGGCAAGCTACAGAAGAGATGGTCTCTGGAAGTGAGCAGTGTGAAGAGGCAGCTTGGAATTCGGTTAATTACTGTGACACTCCCGTGCAGAGAACCAGGCCACCAGTGCTGGGAAGGCGGGGGAAGGGGGTCGCATTGCTAACATAGCTTTAGTGGAGGAAGGGTAGGCGAGAGCGAGAGGCAAGAGAGACTCCCATTAAAGGTGCTGTCAGGCCTAATTCTTGTCATATACCACAAACTACAAGGCCTCATTGTGCTGGGCTGTTGAGTACAATTTTCCCAGCCAAGCATACAGATCTTCCCTTGGCACTTACATGCTTCCAAATTTCCATCCCTCCTTTGTCCTTTCCCTGTCTTTTTTTAATGAATTCATCCCTTTATTTTTGGCTCTCCTTCCCATACCCTTCTCCATCCAAAGCAGACCTTTGCCCTGGATATGACTTGACTGGGGGCCACGGGGAGGAAGGCCAGGGTTACCTGAGACCACTTCTTCCCTCCCCCAGCCCCTTTCAGGTTCTCCTTCCCACTCCACCCTGCTCTGGCCCCTTTCCCTGAGTGACAGAGAAGCTGCAGGTCTCCCAGACAGAGAAGGGGGGGTTTGCAATGATTTCCGCACAACTCCACTCCACCTCCGCATTTTCACACAGCAGCAGCAAACACCCACCCCTCTGGTCAGCACTTTGAACTAAAACTTCACTTCCTGCCCCACCAATTCCCTCCACTGCAGCTGTAAAATATATTCTCTCACAGAGAACTGCCAGGCCCTCCATCTCACAGCCATTCACGCCGGAAGGAACAGGGGTAGATTTCCAGATAGACAGGACTAAATAATGCTCTGAGGAGCATGCAACAGAGTGCTCTCACAGTGGGATAGGAGGGCTCAACATAAGGGCTGAAGAGACCTTCTGAGATTGAGGGGAGCAGAGACACACCCCTCCTGGCAGGATAGAGACGGCTCGGGGACAAGAAGCACAGGAATGGGGGAGTATGTGGATTTAAGCCACCTTAGGCCTATTGTTTTGTCAGCCAGAGGGCTGGATACTTCCCAATGGAAGTTAGAGCAGCCTCAAAGTTGCTCTAACTTTAAAGGTCTGGTTGCAGTGGCCTCATAGGATGTCCAGCTATTAAGTACAGCTGAACTATGGCCCTTCCTGGCTCCCACCGTAGCACGCTTCTGCCCTGACATCTGCAATTACGAGCAGCCTGGAGCCATTGTGACAGCTCTCAACTACCCACTAAGGTTGCTCCCTACTGAGAGGGAGGCTCCTTCCCTTCTACACTGAGGTCAGAGTCAGAGTGCAGGTTCACCAGGAGCTAGGTGGAAATCACCAAACCCATTTTTAACAGGGCAACCAAACAGTAGGGGGCTTTGGTGCCAACCCACTGGGACTGGATTGAGCTGACCGCTGGCAGTGAAAAGCTCCAATTGGAAACTTAAGTGTTATTCCTTCCTGCAGGCTGCTATGGAGATCAGTGAGAGAGAGATCATTGTCTCTGGTACACAGATGACTACTCTGTTCAGAGCACTCCTCTTTCTCCTATCATCCATCCCACCTCAAGGTTCCTCAGATACTGCCTCCTTCTATAACTGCCCTGGTCCTCACCAGCCCTGTATGTCTAACAGAACAGTGCACCCTGGAAGCACTGAGGGGGTTAAACCCACCTCTTTCTAATTGGCACCATAGAGACACTTTCCCTATCTCTGGGAGTAGGAACTCCAGGGACCCAGAGATTTCCAAAGTTTGACATCACCCAGAGCAGTGGTCCATAGAGACAGGAAACAGGAGAGCGACAGACAACCATGCACACGAGAATTGGACTAAATGGTCGGTGACTAGCCAGTACAGTAAAACCAATCTTCAGAGAAGCTAAAAACATTTAATCTCCTGAGATGTTCCGTTTCCTGCAATGATGATAATTTAAGGAAAAAGCAATAAAGGCAAAAAGGCTCAAGTACAGCTTCAAGCCTACAGAAACTGTAGCCCAAACAGTTAGGTCTCTGCTACCAAAGAGAAAGCCAGAGTAGGAAGGAGGGAGAGCAGTTAGTCTCTGTTCTTTGCCAGTTCTGCTGTGGTAGAGAAGGGTAGGGAGAAAAGGGAGACAAAGAAGAGGTTCCCAGCCTCTCTGGGAAATCACCACCAACACTGGACAGAAACCTGTCTCAGAAACTCATTGGGGCAAGGACAGTCTCGTTGTTCTAACTCTGTACAACAACCAGCATGAAAGGAGCCTGGACCTGACAGGTCCCAGGTGCTATCACAATATAAACAACAAATAACAGTGCTGGCTGCACTGCTTTACATTTCTGGCAACATGAGCTGAAGCCATTAAAAAAATTCCAGACTCTCAGCATTCTGGTTTTGAGCAACTTTGCTTATGCTAGAAAATTACCCCATGTAATCAAATGAACAGGCTTGGAAGTGCATATTTGTGTTACTGCCCCCTAGTGGATGGAAATCAAAACAGGTCAACTGTGTGCCATAACCCCCCACACTACTAGTTGAAAGAAGAGTAGTCTCTCTTAGCTCACACAGTTAGCAGGTATCTTTAGCAATAGAAGAGCTGAGTCCACTTTTAATGCCAAGTAGTGGTTGTGCAGCATAATGAGACCACATGCAAAGTTCTTTTACAGATGTGAGGTTTGCTACAATGGTATAGCAACTTATATCCATGGCTCTTGAAGCATAGGACAGAAAGAGAAAAAAAAGGTACTGTATGGCCAGGCAGAGAACATATCTTTTTCTCACTACAAGACCCTACTCCTTATGACAACTAAAGCCCTGCTGAATAGCATCATATAGAAGTAGGGCTGAAAAGAACCTCACAAGTTCATCTAGTTCAGCACCCTGCTCAAGGCAGGTGTATCCCTGACTAAACCATCCCAATCAATTGTCTGTCCAACCTGCTCTTGAAAATTTCCAGGGAAAGTGTAGCAGAACACTGTACCTGCTCCTTAAGGCTGAAGAAGCCTAGCTAGGGAGCTCCACAGGCTAAGCAGAGCTCCCCAGCTGCAGGTTGCCAGGTTATAGCCTAAGGAAGTAATTTGCTACACCTGCCAACATCACCTGACCAGCAGAAGGCAGGGTTCTGGGATATATAAGCCCAGGCAGTAGCTAACAGACACTCTCTAGCAAGTTACAGGGAAAGAATACCTGCCTGCTAAAACTATTTGAGACCTTGTACTGCCTACTCTGCTACCTAGGTATGACAGGGTACCTAGAATAGGGACATGTTACTCTGAGTGGATGCTTGTCCCCTTAAAGAGGCATAGCACTGTTGTTATTGCTAGTATTTAAGTTATACCCTAGGGGATTGTGTTTGTGTTCATGTTTACCCTGAAGGATTGGGATGAGGCTAAAAAGAGAGGTTTGGAGGCTGAGAGAGAGAGCACATATGATTTAGTAGAGCCCAGTGTCAGGCACAGTGAGCCCAGAAGGGCACAACTAGGCATCTGAGAGAGAGGTACAGAAACCCAGTCACCAGATAACTCAGTGCCTGTGTGTTGCAGAGAGAGAGGAGCCAGAGGGTTCAATGCTAGGGGTGTATAGAGTTGATGATGGCAGTAACACCTGCAAGGCATAGAACATGTAGGAGAGGTAGGAGCGTGTATGCACCGTCTGGTATAGCTGGGCACATGAAAGGTAGCCTCCTGCTTAATGAACAACTCAATTATTTACTAACAAGGCATAGCAAGAGAGATAGGTGGGTGGACTGCCCAAGACAGGTGGGTAGGCTGATGCAAAGATCAGCCTCAGGACAGTCCCCTGTCATAGATGTAGATTCCACAACTCTAGGTAACCTGTTCCAATGCCTGACTACCCTCATA